CTCAGAGCTCGTGTATTGCGGATGATATATGCCCTTCAACTCATTAGTGTCTTCTCCCCTTATTAGGTAATTAATATAAACACATAAACCATTTACACGACCATTGTTTTCTCCCATGTTTATGTTAATGTATTTTGTATGTATGGTGTTCGAATTAAAGCTGAATTGAGATAAACATGGCTGTCCAGGTCCTAGAGCTCCCACAATCCCTGAGCACCATTGCCTTTCGTCGACTCATGTTGTTGAGAATTTCCCATAAACGCAGCTAAAGAAAAGAATTTAATTATTTACATTGTGTTGATCTTATAACGCTTTTAAGAACTAATTTGAGAATACGGAGATTATGTACCTTTTCCTTCAATTTTGTGTTCCTTACTTATAAACTGTTGGGTTTTTTCAGCTGTGACAACTTAAACAAGATAACTGTCTCAGCAAACAATTTTTTTTGTAAGAGATAATCTAATTAGTAACTAACATATAAAGAACTAGAAATATTTCTTACATTCTTTTTCACGCTTATTTCCAAAATATGTTTTGTAGCTCTCAATTTGAAAAAGTATATATACAAACAACACTCTTAATTTAGAGAAATAACGTTAATTCATCGAAGAGTATCACTTCATGCATGCACCAAGAATGGTTCAGTGTTTTTGTTGGAACCATAATTTTGAATCAATTGGGCCATTGAGTGGGCTTGTTGTTTTGTCAAAATGGGTTATAAAATGTGAATGAGAAAAGCCTCTTAGTTGGCAAGTGAGTGACACTTAAAAAGTCCCACATCTAAAGTTTGAGAGTTTTTCATAGTGTATATATATGGTCACTCATGTGTCTATGTTTAAAACATAACACATCTATGGACAAAGAGTGAGAAGTGGGAAACCCCACACGCGCACCGAACCGGGGTGGGTGTGGGCTTGGGCTTGGGCAATTGGACCCTATTCTTTTTGGACCAAGTAAATGGGCTTTTTAAAGCCTCTTGTTTTTGGCCCAAAACACTGTCACTGTCAACACGATTATCAGTGGTTGTATCCTGACTCGTGAATCAAATCCGTCGCACTGCGGGAGATTCTTAGAGTTAAGGAAAGAGATTTCAAATCTCGACTCCACTCTCTGTA